CAAAACTGATCACAACCGGTCAGCCCACATTTCATCATCATTAACCTTTTTTTGTTATACGTTTTACCTTAAAAGGCACTGGCCAAGAAGGTTAACAAATCAGTTCGCATTCCTTTGTTTATAAGTAAAAATAAATTAGGAAAAAAAAGTAGTACAAAAAACGTAACTATACTAATATTATAAAGTGTAAATTGTTTGTTTGTTTGCATTGAATAAGCTCCAAACTACTGAAAAAATATGAAAAATTCCCCGATATCATTTAACCTGATTTTTTTAATTCAGCATGGATGAAGTCGCAGGCAAATGCAAGTAATTTATAAATTTTATCATTACGACAGTACAATTGTCCTAGTTACGTAATTACATATATCCAAGCTTTAAACATTTGCATGGGTTCAGCGTAAATAAGTATTATATTAAAAACTAGGTCTCAAGCGTATTATTGTCTGAGACCTAATTTAACCTACTAATGTTACAATTGGATATGTTCTTATCTTAATAATATTGTAAATGCGAATGTTTAGGTGGAAGGATGTTTGTAAGAAGGTATCTTCAGAACAGAAAGTCCCTGAAATTTGGCACAGCTGTAGGACATAGTCTGGAAGAACAAGTAAGCTACTAATTTTAGACTAGACTAATTAAGTTTTTTTTTTATTTAAAGGGCGACAGCCATGTAATCATATAATTTAGATTACAATGCTAATTGTATTGTTATAGAAAAAAAGTTTGTCGTCATCGTATAGGTTATATCAAGATATTATTGAATGAGTCCTAACTTTACTCCATTCGGCGTGTTGTTTGAAACAAAACGCCTAGATGTAGACTCGTTAAGGAATCTAGTTGCGTCAACAATTGATATTAAGTCAAAGCAAATTATTACATTATGTAACATATTGAAAAGACGACATTCGACTTTTTTTTAAACCGAAGTACGAATATTGTTAGCATTTCACGCTCTTTTTATTAATCGACTACGATTCTAAATTTGTCTTTATGTTTTTTCCTTCCATAAACAAAACCCGGTGCAAGTAACTAGTGTGAGATACAAGTTAAGTTTCCTGTATTCTTTCGTATCCGACGATCGATATGGGAAATACAACATACCTTATAAAGTTGTAGCAAACGGGTTACGAAGCCTGCTAAGTGAGGACGTCCTGTCTACAGGATGTTCCATTATTAACATACTCGCGATATTATAAATCTATTTAAGATTTTATAGTTTTAATTTATTAAATTTTTTTAGTTATTTTTTCTTCAAAAGTAAAAAATCTGTGGTTTTTTTACTAACTTAATATTTAAGTAACAAGATATTTTAAATTCGAAACACAAGCAAATTGTTTTCTATGTGTAAAGTTCTCCTATTTTCATGGTGTAAAGTACAATAATATTATAGAAGCAGTTAGAAATTGCTAGTTATCTCAATAATAAAAAGAAATTCCTTGATATGCAAATTTATTAAGAAATACTTCCATATGATACAAAAGCCATACAAATGTATGAGATTTACTTCTGTCATTCACCTGCAGCAAAATCCCTTGTCGTATGTAATATAGCATGTAATATGATTATGTTGAGTCAGAAGCATTTTAATATATATTATCGTAAGGAAAATGTGTTAAACGAAGCCTTACTTTCATCAGTTGACAGCGTTATTTTTTTAATAGTGGTAAAAGTGTGGATTATTATGCCACTTGAAAAAAAAAAATCTGTTTTAAATTTAAAAAAAAAACTAAAGCTACCAAATATAAAACAAACGTGAAATATTTAATTGATGTTAGTATATTTTTTTAATAAATTATTGTGAATTCGTAAAACGATTTTATTCTTTTATTTTTAATCTTTAAAATAGTTTTTATTGACAAGTAGAATGGTAAATACAATACAGTTAATCTTTACCTGCCAATACGTTAATAATACGCATACTTTGCAAATTCTTCTGCACCTCTGCTGTTAAAATGGCATTCCTTAAACTATTCAGGCACTATCTTGTAAAAAAAAACGTTGGGCAGGTAAGAAAAAAGCGAACCTCTACAACAGATTTATAAATGAATTCCTTCTAAAAATCATAGTCAAGAAAGCCTGTGTTGTGTAATTTAATTGTGATATTTAATAATTTTTCAACGAAAACACAGTTGAAAAATTCACATAAAACAAAATGAAATTCGTTTTTTTTCTGCAAAAACTAAAACTGTTGTGTTTTATTTTTCGGCAGGCTGAAAATCGAAGTTTTAGTATTTTTAAATGTCCATGGTTAAATAGAAAAAAAAAACCGCTGCTCGTGAGATAAGGAATTCAAAACAGATTGCGATGCAGCTGGCTAGTGGACATCGTTTAATTTATCACATTTAAAAATATAGTCTATCTATGGTCAGAGTGAAAGACATTCGATGAATTTAATCAAGTTTTTTTGTACAAAATTTAAATGCTATCGTTAGTTATTAAGATAAACTGAAATATTATTCAATAAGAAACTAGGTAGAGAACCAGAATAAATTTAATTTTCCAGTTATATTTGGCATGTAAAAATTTGTAAAATGCCGTTGTAATTACGCATGTAAATTTATAAATAAAAATTGCACTCCTTAAATAATTATATTTATTTCTAGCCAATGTATTTAGAGAATTACTAATTTAATTTTAACTTAAATATCTACCACAGAATGGTCACCTCGTTAAAAACCGGAAACGTCAAACTGTTTACCTTTAAAGCAAAGACTTGTCTCGACAAGTTTCTAGTTATCGTAATAACCTAAATAAATTGTGACAAACACAATTCTATACTTATCGAAATTATGCATAATACAAATTTTATTTATAATTTATAAAATCGGATAAATTTCAAAACTTCTATTATAAAATTGTTAAAAAAACCTTATAATATTACTTACTATGATGGTGTTTATTTAGGTCTTAGTATTAATTTACATAAAATGATAACAAAGTAGGCTACAGACAAGCCTTTATTGTTTGATATCGTGACGTGAAAGTGTTATGAATTACGACTTTAAACTACTATTTCAGAACGCAAACAAAGGATGGCGCGAAAACATTCCCGCCATTTCAATAACATGAATGACAGCATCAATGTCAAAACAAGGATTTATCTATAACTGTCACTATTTTAATTCAATGAAAATACTGGTAAAGAAAAAAATCTTATAATAAATTAAATTTTCCACTTAAATCAGATTTGAATTTGACTTCCGATAATTAGTTAACATGAATGTTGCCATGTTATTATTCAAAGATACCGAGTAACATCGATATTTTATCTCTGGTCGTCGATCATTTCGAGAACATTTCCCGCCATTTCTTCAACATACGAAAATAAAATCTCACGAGTCGAAAACGAGCGAGGAATGTTCAAGATATCTTTGTACGTACCTGTTACTTGGAATTTGTGCAGTAGACGTAGGGAACCGGTCTTGTCAGCTGATAGAACTGAATTCGTGTACTTGCGGCTGTGAAGAGCAAACTTCTGATAACGTAATCTTAAACCGCCTGCATTTAATCAAATTATTGTTTACTAATTAAGATTATGCGAGAATTATTGTATTGCACGGATTAGATTTAAATCTGATCCTATCAAAGATGTTTTATTAAAGGTTTAATTATACGTCTTAGTTGTATCATTGTTTCAATTTTGTAGGACAGTTTATCTGTTTGTTAACGGAGCAATTAGTAATAAAAGCACGATATTTGTATTTACCATTGTGTTGCAAGGGTCGAACAATCACTTGTAAAATTATATCTGTTTTATTAAAACAGATTACTATGTTCCCTTTACGAGATGTTTAATATCTTAAGCTTAAAATTAGTAATTATTTTTTGTCACAATAAGGTTATAAATGTTATTTATTTCTTGTGAACTTACCCTTATAGTTAGCGAAGCGTGACGCTTTATATCCGCCTATTGGTAAAACCGTTATGAAGAACCCTTGCAAATGGCGCCAACCCCAACATTTAGTTAACGTTAAAAAACTTTGTGAAAATAAAAGATACAGAAACATAGAAAAAAGTCATTGTTCAACAACAACAGAGAAATATAGTAATTCAATAGTTATTTTTTATCAAACTTATACTTAACAATAATTTCAAAAATCTTTTTTTTTCGTGTTCAATTACGCGAGCAATATCCCACAATTAAAAAAAATATAGTGTTTTTGAGTTAAAATTCGATTGGTAAATTAAGAAGCGAGTTAATTCCGTGCAGAATCATCCGTGTTATATTTAATTAGGGCTTTTATTTTATTAAATATGCCATTATAATGAAGCAATGAGCACAACATGATAATAATGTAGGAACATGGCAGTGTCAGTGACATGGGAAACGAGAAAACCGGTGGGACATCATGTCTAGGGCTGTCCTAAGATATTTTGAAAAAAAACTAATAATTTAACAAGGATTAATATGCAGGATGTGTAGGACAAGTTACATTATCTTTATTTAAAGGTTTCTTTCGCCAACTCTACATTAAAGGAGTAAAAGACTATTAAATAAGAGTGTAACACATAACACAAATAGCGATACTTTGTTAAGGCAAAAATAAATTAGAAAAACGTAACGTTAAGAAAAGACGAGTAAGTTTAAATTAAAAATAAAAAGTTACATTTTGATAAAAAGAAGTGAATAAAACTCGAAGGGCTGCTATATAATAACTGGTTATTTTTCCTTTCTTTTATTACCACAGATATCTTTTTTTACATGATTTTTAACGAATGTGAAAGTCTATGATATCTGTAGATGGTTCGTGAAAGTCGACAACCCTGACGCCAGCACGACAGGTGCCCGATCCGTTAAGTCTGCTCACAAACGAGTTTCAATATGTTTGCAACGTTTTTAAATATCATATCGATTAATCGAATTTCCAAATACCCATTAAACAATTATTCGACTCCTGGATAATTAACGAAATCATAGCGATAAAGTAAACATAAAAAGCGTTAAAAGAAACGTCTCTTTTAAATTTATTTTTTAATCTGTGTTTAATTATTTACAGATCAAACAAATATCTGCAGAAATCGGCGATAACGCGTGTTTGTGCAGTTGGAGGCTTCTTCATATCGATACCGGTGTTTTTAACAGGTAATTAATACTTTTTATCGCTTTTATGTTAGCTTAAATTACAAACACATTTTTTTAGTCTTTGTCAACTTTAAGATAACGATGAGATTAATGTTAAAAGAAGCAATAAATAATACTTTTTTTATTCGATTGAATTAGAAGTTCGATTTGCATTTTGATATCGATATTTCGATATCAAAAATTAACTAAATTAATGCCAGTTCGTAGCCTAAATAGTTTCTACGATTTTAGCAAGAGAAGTTATTCGATTCATATTTGCCCTGAACCTGAAATTCTGCTTTTTCCTTTTTTAATTAACTAAATCTATATTTTCCAGGAATAATACTCTACACTTTCATCCAGTTCCATTCAACGCCGGCTATTGTGACATCAGTATTCATAGGAGTTGGCATCATTTTCTGCGGCTGCGCGATGGTTCATAATGTCTTTGTGTGGCAGAAAGAGAAGACGAACCTTGTTAAAGCGTTCCGTGGCCAAGATTTAAACGCAACGAATGCAACATCACCGAATATTAGCACATCTAATGGTGCATTACTTGGTAACGGACATTTGAACACCACTGGAGGGAATGTCAGCTTCCATAGCGTTGCTGGAGCACCGTACACTCATCCTATAACATTACTTCAGCAAGGTGGACCGTATATTATTAGGTGAACCATTTGATTATTATAAAATAGGTTTACGAGTAAATTGCAAGAAAATATCCATATTAGATACCAGTAGTGCATTTTCAAACTATTTAAATTAAACTTTACTTCATAATAATTACCATAGACAACTACAAGTGTCAATATTGCCTCCCACTGCGAAGTTGGTACTTTTAAAGAGACTTATGAACAGGCAGGCAAAGGAACTGTCATCTTTCGATTACTGTTTTTAAAAATATACAAAAAACTCGATTAATATCGTACTATTAACAAAATTGCAGAGTTTACATATCTAATAATGTCAACTTCAGGCCACCTACGAGCACGCCGCCGGGAGAGGGAGCGGCGACACCGGGAGTACCCGCTGCCACCATCGACCTTAGCCACGACGCGCACGAGCTGAGCACGCTAGTGTGACAGGAAGAGTCATAGACAATCACGTCTAATGTATGCATAATCTATAACATAGACTTATGGGGGAATATCCGGCGTCATAGACAATTAAGTCTATTACCTTTTATTGCAACGACTGAAGTTAACTATAAACAAGGCATTTTTATTCTTTAACCTGCTCAGTTAAGGCTACAAATTATAAAAACCAGAAAAGAAAAAAATGAAAAATAAAAATGTTAAATCAAATTTGTTAAAACTAAATTTGAAATTAACGAATCAGGTTGTGATGACGTCATTAAAGCTTGTGAATTACAAGTTTATAAATTGATCGAAAAGTATGGCATGTTCATAGTTGCTCAAGGTCTATTAAAGCCTTAATATACAACCTTGAACATAAAACATGAACAAATTGATATTTTACTCATAAATCCAAGGCAGTAACATGGATGGTATAGTGTAGATTATGCACGTAAAATGTCATAAAATCCAACTGTAAAATTGTTAGAAATGATTTAAGAGTTATTGTAAAAAGGAAATGAAAAACAAGCATATTGTAGCTGCAACAAACACCAATGCTTTCCTTCGATTATGTAAAAACCATTTTATAATTTAGACATTTGTTAAAATATGATATACTTACGTATATAATCATTATTTCAGGTTAGAAATGCGTGCGTCTTTTAAATGTGCAATTAACCGTGGGTTTCCGAGATCAAAATTCCCCTTTAAAACATATTGTTATCTCTGTTTTGTCAAAGATAATGAGAGAGATGACGATGTGTTTTATACATGTGGTCTCAGAAACCATCGGTAAGTAGATTATGAAGAAGCTTGAACGACCTGAATTGTTTTTATTTGTATGATAAAATAATTTTGTAAATAGTTATTTTAAATTCCTGCCATAGCATTAATTGCTTTGCCATGTTTTATTATTTAAATTTAATATTTTATAGTGTTCTCCTAAGTTATACAAGCCACAGATTATGTAATAAAAATATAGACCAGAGACAATATTTATTTTTAACAAACTTTTTTTTTTCAAATATTTTAAAGGTTAAAATAAAACGAATGTTTTAAAAATACATGCTTTTTTATAGGGATTATTTTATAAGGCCTTTGTAATATTTTTTTACACAAGCAAGTTCACAAAACGTATATTTTTCTGGCTGAGCATTATGCGTCATCGTAAACAGATTTTATTAAAAAAAAAGAAAACCCACCAATCAGATTGAACTGTTCATGATTTTTTTATATATAAAATTATCTAAATGTATATTTTGTACATAGTATACTCAGGAACCTGGAGGCATAATTTAATTTATTTTTTAATAGATAACATTATTTCTATTTGAAAAGATAGTTTGTGTTATGTGACACTAAAAATAAAATATTAAAAAAAATGTTTTTTTTATTTTAATTTAATCTATGGAATTCCGATTTAGATTTTCTTTTGCCCTGAAAAAAAAATACATCATTTACAAGATTTTCCATCTTACTAATATTATAAATGCGAATGTTTGGATGGATGGATGTTTGAAGTTATTTCCAGAACGGCTGAACAGATCTCGGTAAAATTTGGCATACATATAGAACATAGTCTGGAAGAAACACATAGGCTATTATATATATTTTTTTAATTCTACCCACACCCACTAATTTTTTCGACAAAACAGATATAAAATATTTTAAATTTAGATTTTGGTCTCAGAAACCCACAATTAGACATTATGCTTACAGTAAAGACATTTATATTGAGCTTTTTACAAGGTTACCTTTTCATTCCCTGGTATAAACCGGTGTAGTACCCACTCATGTACCAGCTGAGCAGCATTGAGGATATAGCTTGGTCTTCTGAACTGTCGTGCTCTGATCCAAATCCTATAGGCGGTGGAGGAGGTAACGGCATGTCCATTGAATTTAGCTAAAAAAAAAATAATAAAAAAATTTATTATTTTAAGTTACTGGCAAGCGAACAAACATTCAATTTGGCTAAAGTAGATATGAGTTACTATCCTTAGTAATCTATGTGAAATTAAAAGATCACAGATGCGTTGCCTATAAACAGTTTTTTTTTATTTTGTAGCACACATACAAACACATACACACACAAATACCAACATCCACATCTGCGACATATAAATAATTTTCTAAAAACTCATATAAGGCTTGTACATGTTATTACTTACATTTCCCAACATGGTAGGATTAAATATTGGTACATCAGGAAAGTTCATTTTTCGTTGATTTTTTTTCTTGTTTGATTTTTTCTTTTTTTGGAATGATCCATCTGAAAATAACAATTAAATTATAATTTCATACACTGAGAAACAGTAAATAGTCGAAACATGACAATTGTAGTAAACTTTCACGAAATAGTATTAAAAAGTTGTCGCCAGCAACCTCGTCCGCGCATAATTTATAAAAAACCTAATTAGTAGCCTATGTGATCTTCCAAACTATGTTCTACATGTATACTATTATAAATTTCATCAAGATCCATACATCCTTTTTGGAGATACCTCCGAACAAACATCCATCCCAAACATTCGCATTTATATTAGTAAGATTTTTTTTTAAATATATCATAAGGTGGCAAACGAGCGAGCGGCCACCTGAAATCGCTGAAATAGCGAAGTGACCGTTGCCCATAGACAAACGCAATTGCATATGCGTTGCCTACCTTTCATCGACGGAGGAGAGGATGCACGGAAAGAATACATTTCCATGCATCTTCTCATCCGGAAAGTCCACTTCCAATTCCCATCCTTTCCTTATGAGAAAAAAGGTGGGAAGGGAAAGTGGACTAAATTAGGCCTCCGGGACTCACACTCATCAGACTGTACGCCTGTCTTCTGTGTGGTCGTGGTATATCACAGGGCGAGCCGCGACATTTCGTGCGAAGATGTTAAAGCTACCACTGTTAAATTATTAATAGATTAATTTAATACTTTCAATATTAATTTATTTATATAACATACATATGTTATTCTTAAAGTTAAGTTAAGTTAAGTTAAGTTAGTACTTACCTGTACTTCCTAGACTTGTGCCAGCATCACTACAGTCCATATTTTCTAACAATGATTGACTTCCGAACCCATCATCTTTATCACACAATGCCTGTTGTGTTTGTCGCATGCGTTCATGTTTACCAAGCGTTGGTTTTAAAGAGCTAATGGATACTATCTCTGAATTATCATATCCTGAAATATATTCATATTTATCTTATTGTAATTTATAATAAAAACTTAGAAGTATTTGTACAAATTCATATCTAAATGTTTATTTTACATAGGTGTCGTCCGTGACTCCGTCCGCGCGGAATTAAAACTTAATAAGTAGCCTATACTCTTCCAGACTGTTCTATATGAATGTCAAATTGCAGCTATATCCATGTAGCCATTCTGGAGATCCCTTCAAACAAACATCCATCCATCCATCCAAACATTTTAATTTATAATATTAGTAAGAAGTAAGATAAAATCACAGTTAATACTTTACCTAAGAATTTAACTATGCATTCTTTATCATTGATAATTCTGAGCACAAATGCCTCATATTCTTGACCATCTTCATCATAAACAGCTCGGCATGGCATGCCTGCCTGCCATTTAACACTTTTCTTTTGAGGACATTTCAGTTTTTGAGGTGATATATCATTTTTTGTTTTTGTTTGATCTGTAAAAATAAAATTTATCATACAGTTAGTCCTACTTATTAACAATGGTGTCACTAGCCATCAAAAATAATACAATATACAATAGTAGAATAGTCACTGAAATGGAGATTCATGGAAAGACTAGCTGTCGCCCATGACTCCATATACACAGAATTTAAAAAAAACTTTATTAATATCCTATGCCTTCTTTCAGATTATGTTCTACAAGTACGCCAAATTTCTTTGAGATTTGTTTAACCGTTATGGAGATACTTTCATACAAACATCCATTCATCCATCATTTGCATTTATAATATTAGTAAGATATGTTATAAACTTAAACTTGGATAAGAGACTAAGAGATCTACATATTTTTCTCACTGATAGAGGTTTCTAACAAACCTTATCTCGCTAATGGATCTTGTTCATCATGATTGGAGAATATTTTTTACTTATACAGGTTTGACTATACTGGTGTAACATAGATGTTCAACAAAAAAGGGAGTTTTCTAGTAAGTGACACTATCAATGAACGTCTAAAATATGAACAAAAGAGAGATGGAAAAGTACAGTCTATCTCTCTCTTTTTCATACTGATCTCTGTAAAATGGTAAGTATCAGTTACATTATATTTACTCACCTTTCTCAGGGTTTTTAACTAAATTTTGTGTGTTAGTGGACATAGCCACGCGCTTTGCTACCTCAGCATTAGCAATTTTTAAAGCTTTGTCGTATGCATCGTTAAGTTTCCTATCATCCCATATGTCTTCTTCAACAGTTTCATCTGTTTCTGACTGAAATACAGTGTGAACTCATTAACAAACTTTACCAAACCATGATTAGAAAAACAAAATTTGTTTGTTTTTAATCAAATACTATTTAGATTACATTCCAAATACATTTAAGTTTTACTTACTAGATTCATTCCTTTAACGTAAAGAAGTTCACAGTTCGACATTTTACTTGTTTTTTTATATTTTCACAATATTAGTTTAGTTTTAAATTACCCAGAATTTCAAAATTTTAAACTATTACTTGGTTTTTGTTAAGATTTAAATTGAGTAAGTTTTTTTAGATACAAGCTGTATTTTTTGATATGGATGTCAATGTCAATGTCAAACATTGTCAATTGGTATTAACTGTCAAATGACAACAAACCATTAAATGTAAAATAAGAAACTTCTCTTTTATGGTGGTATTTTTTCCAAAGAAAAGGCTTCTTGGGCATCTTAAGAGCGAAAAGATCGTGAGATTATTTTCTCAGTTAATTTTAGTATTGCTTTCGTACAAGTCCAATCTTGAGGGAATTCTCGAGGAGCCAACAGGAGACTACTCTTTGTTCAGTGGTAAAATTATCAACAACAAGAAAATTCAAAAACAAGAAAGTCAGTGTCAAGTGAACTGTCAAATGCTGGTTTCAATTTTCTTGTTTATAAATCTTAAAAATAATACCAATTTTATTTTGCTCATGGCCTTATGCATTTGTATTGCTTTTAAAATATTACCTTACAGTAACTAATTCATGATTTGTAAACTATATAAGAGAAATAAAATGGACATTTGCGCTACTACGATGTTTATAGTGTTTTATATTCATGTACAGTGGAAGCCTTAATTTTTTGCATTATTTACGAAGTTTAGTGTTTGAGAAAATTCAATACCAATTTTTTTTTAATGAAATAGTACTCATAAAAATTCTTCCTTTTTGCATCAAGCATAAGTATGGCCAGCGTAGGTAAGAATTCTTCAAAAAAATATAAAAAATATGAGGCTAGCAAAGACGATTCTTCTGATAAAGACGATAATAACAGAAAACGACGCAATGAATGTGTTACACTAAATGAGTCTTTGAACAGTAGTGCCAAAAGAAAAAAAAGTGAAGGTAATGCAACAGTCAATCCTAAACAAGAAAAAGATGTCGCTTTGGAGGAAGGAAAGGAAATTTTCTCTTTATTGGTCTCAAACATTCCTTACCAATGGACATTTGAACAGATAAAAGATTATTTAAATGAAAATGTAAGTATCACTTCATATTTAAATTATCTTGTACATTTAAAAAGGATAATGATAACAGAGGAAGTTAGTAAAAATTGATGGCAGGATGGATAGTTGTTAATGGACCTCATTGAGATTTGGTATAGATGTGGAACATGGTTTGGACAAACTACTAATTAAGTAAGTTAGTTTAGTAAGAATAAAAAAATTACTAATGAAAAATGTGTCATGTTATTAAAAAAAAATTCTAGTTTTATATTATTCACCCCATTTTATTGTATGATTTGTTTTTTACAGTCTATTGATGTAAACACATTAGAAAAATTAGAAGGTGGTAATCTTGAAAGAGGACAAAAAATAGAATTAACTTTTACTAATTTTGAGCAATGTAATAAAGCAAGGAAACAGTTAAAACTGAAGGCAATTGATGGAAAAAAACTTGATATTGTTTATAAAAGTAAGTTTTTTTTCTAATCATAGAATCTATTGATTTAATTTACTAAAACACAGGCCATTTAATTTAATTTAACTCATCATCAGCTCACTACACGTCCCCACCGAGGGGCTTGGAGCCTACCCTAAGTTAAGGGTGATTAGGCCATAGTCAACCACGCTGGCCAAGTGCGGGTTGACTTCACACATATCTTTGAATTTCTTCTCAGATATGTGCAGCATCACGATGTTTTTCTTCACCGTAAGAACATCGGATAAATGTACATATATAAATCGGAAATCGAAAAACACATTGGCACATGGCGGTATTCGAACCCAGGACCTGCAGATTGCAAGTCAAGTGCTTGACCACTGAGCCACCGACGCTCTCAATTAACTATTATAGCTTAAAAAATAAATATGATTAAATTTAATCACATTTGTGTAATATAAATAAAAATTAGGACTAAAGCATAAAATCATGTTTTTTAATATTGTATACAGTAAGTAAGCAACATTTAATTCTTAAATTATTAAAACTCCCGTGAGACCAAAATATCTGTATATAACATATTGTCATCCCTCTCATTATCTTTGACTAAACAGAGATAACAATATGTTTTAAACGGGGATTTTGTTCAGTCAAGTATTACATGGATTTTTACATGCAATTTGCATAGTTTATAGCAGTGGTTCCCAAACTTATTTTGTCTACTGCCCACTTTGAGAATAAATATTTTTTTAGCGCCCCCATATTTTCACATATTTAAAAACAACTATAACTTCAAATTAAATTAATTAATTATTGTTGTTGAGAGTCGAGAGCTCATGCAGTCATTGTCTAAGAGGCCTCCTAGCTAAATAAAATTACAAATCACCCCCCAGGCCTCAACAAAACGCACCCATTTTCTTTCTGAGTCTCTTACCCTTGAGACCTGCAGCGCCCACAAGGGGGCGTGATCGCCCACTTTGGGAAAGACTGGTTTATGGTAATCAATTCTATTTATTATTTTGCAATTTGCTTTTTAATTTATGTGCACTAGGGCAGCATGGTCGACTATGGCCTAGTTCCAATAACTTAGGGTAGCCCTTCGAGCCCCTCATTGTTGTAGTTGTAGTGAGTTGATAATTATATGTATCCTAATAAAATTTACAGTTCCTGGTGAATCAGATAGTGGTGATGACATGGATATGCCTTTAGCCAATAGAAGGTAAATGTTTTCTTGTATTATAAGCAAAAAGATATTTAGTTAGATTCCCATCGATTTTTTTTCTTACAATGAATAATGAAGTACACATTCCTTATTTGGAGATGCTGTGTTCAGAGTTCGCCAACCTTCGTTAGGGGATAGCATCAAAAGAATAACTAAATTAAGACTTAAACCAACATTAAGTACCAATAGCCTAATGGTTGAAGGTACGGATTTCAATCACGATGTCGGGGGTTCGAATCCCGACATTCGGCTATTGTCGTAAACCATATCTTAGCACAAGTCTACAGCGTAATTGGAATGGTACAAGAAATATTAGTAAATTAACAAATATCTGCTTATATTTTTAATTAAAAAAAAATGTGAGGCAACCTGATGTTAGAGGCGAAGCTTTTCAAAGAGGATGATATTAAGAAAGTAGACCAGTTTTAATTTTATTATTTCTTATCATAGAACAACAACTCGACCGTTGCCGACATGGGAATCTATAGATATATGGGCAGAAGAACCAACAGGAACTTATGGTCTGAAACCATCTTATTTGGAGTCATTGGGGATTAAACTTCCAATAGATAAATGGATACATGTTTCTAATGTAAGTATATTTTTAAAATAAATATTATAACATACATCTTCACTGTTGCCTGCGAATTAAAAAAAAACGTAGTAACCTACATGTTCTTCCAGACTATGGTCTACATTTGTGCCGAATTTCAGCAAGATCCTTGTCTGTTGATACCTTCCAACAAACATCTATCCATCCATACATCCAAACATTCACATTTATAATATTAGTAAGATTTTATGTAAATTTCCTTTTTAGTAAAAAAGGATTTTTAAACAAGAATTTGTATGGATATTAATAAAAGAGACCAAATGTATGTAATACCTTTCGAATAAAAAAAAGATTATGAAAATCAGAACATACAGATGAATTATAAACCTCCTTTTTAAAGTCTAATAAAAACATACTACCAAAGTTAAAAGATCTAAAAAAAAAGTTTTCATGAAACATCTGATAATTTTATTAAATACTAGCTGTCGTCCGCCACTCCGTCCGCGTAGATATATAAAAAAACTTAGTGTAGCCCACTCATCTATCCATACACATCACATCCATCTAAATATTCGCATTTATAATATTAGTAAGTTAAATAAAAAGGCATAAATTCGAAAAAAAAATGAATAAATAGTATCCTATGTCCGTGTCCTGGCTCTAAGCTACCTCACCAATTTTCAGGCATATCGGTAAAGCCATTCTTGAGTTATAAATAGTGTAACTAACACGACTTTCTTTTATATATATAGATTTTTGTATTTATATTTTTAAGTTTTTACTATTTTTTTTTCCTGAACAGTTTAGATGTGATAAATCGGAATTAAAAGAAGTATTGGAATTAGCCGGTCAAGTTGTGATCTGTCGTGTTATTTCTGCATTTAACAAATATGCAACAGTTATGTACAGTCATCCATTAGAAGCTGTACAGGTAAAATGTATTTCCTTACCATAATAGCTGTCGTCCGCGACTTCGTCAGCGCAGAATTAAAAAAAAATAGCCTATGTGTTCTTCCAGACTATGTTCTATATAAAAGCAAAATTTCATCGACATCTGTTCAGTCGTTCTTGTGATACCGTTAAACAAACATCCATTCATCCATCCATCCAAACATTTGTATTTATAATATTAGTAAAAAGTAAGATTTGTATGTATTTCTGTTCCATTTTGACCTATAGGGAATTAAATTGTTTGACCAATTTTGAAGTATGAAATGTAATTTAATTCATATTTTACTGCTTTATTCCGAACTACTTGTCGCCTGTTACTCCGTCCGCGTAAATTAAAATAAAAACTTAATAAGTAGCCTATGTGTTCTTCCAGACAATGTTCTTTAAGTATGCAAAATTCATCTAGATCTGTTCAGCTGTTCTATAGATACCTTCTAACATACATCCATCCATATAAACATTGGCATTTATATTAGTAAGATCAATTTTTGTATGGAAAAATTAAAAAAAAATAGTATTTATTTATTGTAGGCTGTAGCAATGTTAAATGGTCAAACATTCTACGGACAAGTACTAAAAGTTTTGATGTATAGATGTGAGGAAAATGATTTATTACTACCAAAAGGTCTTGTTAAAGTTGGTCCCGGACTTGGTATTGGTGGGAAACCTTTAAGAGATATCGTGCAACATTACGAAAGATATCTCAATGGTAAAGTTAATTGTATTAATGAAACAATATTTAATATACCAAATGATACAGATTTTAATGAACAAGATGATAATGATGAAAATATTAAAGAGGAAATAGATATTAGTGAAAATAATAATGATAACCAAAATAATGATAATATCACAAATAATGATGATCAAAATAATGATAATGCAATTAATGCAACCAATGAATCAGAAACAAGTGGAAATGCAATACCGAAAAAACTAAATATATCAATGACAATCACACAAAATCTAAGACGACCAGATATACCTTTGGGTCCTAGTTCTGCCCCAGTACATCCAAATGGGGTATCCAATATTAGAATAACACAATTCTTACAACAACCTGCAACAAGTCTGGAGAATAAATCATTCAGACCTGGTATCAATCAACCTGGTTATATTGCCCTAGTGAACAACCCAGGACCAGTATACGTTAGTCCCCAGAATATGATGGCTACTACGAGGTTACCTCAGATTGTACCTGTGAATCCAAGAATACAGATTCCTGGTCCATTCCACGGCCCAAGACCCCAAGGCCCTGCACCTCAAGGCCCTAGACCCCAAGGCCCAGGATCCCAAGGGCCTTTACCTCCTGGTAATACGAACGGTTGGTGCGGACCTCCGTTGAATAGACCGCCTAATAGGAATGTTTGTTTGCCACAAATAACGTCGTCAGTGGTGGAATTAAGTAATGTAAGTATTTTTGCCTGTATCTTTTTCTTTTTATTCGTTATTTTTTTATTTTGTACGTGTTCTATTCTTTTATTTTTAGCTAACTGGTTTAAGACGTAAATTAGCTTTAATTCCCTGTACTGCGAGTTCAGTTTTAAATATATTCTACTGAAAACTGAATTCGATTCACATATATTTGAAATATAATCAATTAATTCACTTTAATCGATGTTTTTAACGACTATGGAGCTAAAATTAATAGACCCATATAACAGGTATATTATAAAAAGTTTAAATGCAATTTCTATTAGTGTTAAAATAATCAAAATCTTATAATAGTCGTTAAGTACATTAAATAATGTAGTTTTGATATGTATGGACAGCTTCCCCTGTCGACGACATTCCCCACCCTGTCAGAGAAGATGTCTCTGGTGGGGCAGGTGATATCTTTGGAGCTGACGCGTGTGGGCTGCGCGCTCGTGCGCTTTGCCACGCCTGCGCACGCCGAAAGGTGTTATTGTATCCTTTTATATACAGGAGAGGGGATGTAGAGGAAAGGGAAATATCATTTTTTGTACAATCTTCACAATAAATTAGTCAGAAGAATAGATTAAATCTTTTCTACCTTCATTTATTTCATTATTACAATGGGTGAATTTCAATATCGTGATTTTTAAATAATGATTTTTAGACCTCTCCTCCATAGCGGAGGCATACCCACTAAACCTCCCTGTTCCTCCAACGCATCGGGACGGGACCACGGGCACGCTTTCGCTCTCGTCCGCGGCTCCGTCCAGCTCCCTCTCGGGGGGAGGCAACCATCAGTCGCCGGTGATGGACTCCCCCGTGTTCATCACCAGAGGCCAATTTGGGGGGGGGGGGGGCAATATACTGCCGCCTTCTCCGCCCCACTCTCCTATGTCACGATTTTTAGACCTGCATATTGCAAGTCAAGTCCTTAACCCCTCACTTTAATTACAATTAATTACTTTAATGTATTATTCAGTACAATACAATAAATTGTATGTGATGGGCAACACTATAGAGGTGAAGTTTCTGTAAAACTCAAGGTATGTATGTCATTAAGATATTTATCATTAGATGATATTTTATTTTATATCACATTTACATTAGCTTAATTATTAATTTAAGTTGAAGAAATAAGTTGGAAAAGTTCTTAATACATTTGTACTTTTGCAGGCAGCCTGCAAGTGGATAATTAATTGGATAAAACGCTAAGTTAGAGGACTTAAGTTATTATTATACTAGAATTTAAGTTAAATAAGTATCTCCTCGATAAAATTAAAATTATCATGAAATTTGCCAAAAAATTTAATTATAAGGAATTTATTTTTATTTTAAAATATAATATACAATGGAATCTTTATAAGTCGAAATCCTCAGTAACTGATTCAAAAAAAAATACTGTTCCTTTTCAAAGAACCCCTAAATAACAATCTCGAATTATTTAGACTTTGTAACTCCAAAAAAAGAATGTTATTTCCGTGCGTAGATTAAAAAAAAATGCGCATTTTAGGAAATAATATTTGGTAACTCGTCTTTCAGAAACTAGACACCATAAGTATTTTTTTTTGAAATATTAGCAGATTTCTTTTTGGAAATTTACTAATATTTCTATTACCATTCCAACTAAGTTCCTAGGCTTGTGCTAGGATATGGTTTAAGATATTAGTCGAATGGAGGGATTCGAACCCGCGACCTCGTGATCGGAAATCTGTACCCTTAACCTTAGGCTATTGACGCTTAATTTCTTGCATTATTCTTGACATTTGAGATATAGAGATTCTACTGATTATTTATGGATTAGAATATTAATATAATGAAATTGTTTTAAACAATTTCATTAAAAGATATATAATTTTAATGATATTATCATTATTTAATACAATTATTGATATTTACTTTATATAATCTTAATGAATTGGCTTTTTAAATTGCAGTATTAATTTAGGTAAAATAATTTATCATTATTATTATTGTTTATTGTTGTATCTTTTAAATAGTTTTTTCCGTTGGACTGGTTTTTTATCAAATGGTCAAATAGTCCAACGGGAAACATCGTCTGAATACGTAAATTTAGGATTAACTTTTAATTAAGTAGTATAGATTAGCAAAATTAAGTTTTTATGTTTTATATTAAAGCACTTATTCATCTTTAGTTTTTGTTTTAATCCATAAATTGACTTTGAAGGGACTGAGTCTTAGAAGAACTATATTTATGTCTTCGTTGGTTTCTGAAACCAAAATCCTCGTTGAAAACATAATGTTATCTCTGTTTGTCAAAGAAAAGGGACGACTATGTGTTTTATATAGATGATGTTTTTTGATGTCAGAAAATGACGATTAGTCGTCTGTCTGTGGACTACAAACATAAAAAATTTACTTTAGTTTGTTTCCTTATCAAAGAATCGCAAAAGCAATCTAAATGCAATTTTATCAATAATATTTCCAGTACTCAATGATTTTTTTTTTTATATTTAGTATAAAAAAATATCGCCTGATATTAATATCGTATTAACCTTTTGAAACAATGACGATAACGACAGATTACAAAATGCCTTTTCATTGTTATACAGGATGATTTTTTGAAAATCAATTAACAACTCAAGATTTTCTTATAGAGGGTGATCAAATTGGATTTTTTTAGGTGAGAATATTTTAATAAGTATACGAAAAGAAATATCATTCCCGCTTACATTATTTGCTGTTAAAAGTTATGCCAAACGCAGATTTGCAAACATAGACGAATATATTTATAAAATACTAACTGCCGCCGACTCTGTCCGCGCAATACTAAAAAAAAAGTACCCTATGTCTTCTTCCAGAGTATGTTCTACATCTATGTCAAATTTCAGCGAGATCCGTACAGGCGTCCTGGAGATATCAAACAAATATCCATCCAAACATTCGTATTTATAATATTAGTAAGATTTGAAATCATATCACCTAAGATTAAGATTAAACAAATTTCAAAACGACGAAAAAAAACTTTTTAACCATTGTAATATATTACCAATATATACAAAAATTAAATATGTAATGCTAATACAATATTTTTTTAATGAAAGTATTTTATCTAAAATTGAACATCCTGTAGGCACGCGGGCGATAACTCTAAACCAGTTTCGTACCGTCGGCGCAAAAAATGTATACGGTGAGCGCACTGCAAGTTACATCGTTCCTAGATTGGTGAACGAACTACCCTCAGATTTGATTAAATGTATTTCACGAAAAAACATAAAGTGCAAGCTCAAAATATTTTTGTCCGGAAGACCTTAACGCTTATACCAAACCAATGAGGTTTATTTAGCGTTAAACATATGTTTATTTGTATTCAAAATTGTATTGTTAAATAAATAAAAAAAAAAAGTAACGCAACTCTTGTAAGTAATGAAAAAAAATATGACACAGACAACTTTTTAAATATAAATTAAAATATACGGTTAAAAATAAATGTCTAAAGAATATATTAAATATAAAATGACATAGTAAAAATTACACAAATAATATCAGATATCAGATGGAACTTTAAGATCTTTACGAAATGTTTTTATAAACTTAATGAAAACATAAGATATAAATAAGCTTTGTCATGTTCCCCGCAAGACGCGGCTAAATATTATTGTCATATAATTGTCGTGTTTGTGTTTCTCGCGATTATTTTGCAAATCATATCATTATATAACCGTGGAATTCGACTTATATTTATTAAATACTAGCGGTCGCCCGCGACTTCGTCAGCGCGTAATTAAAAATAAAATTAATTAGTAGCCTATCTGTTCAGCTCGACGGCCACGGACAGGTCGACGCAGCGTGGGCAGGACCGCAAGATGGACCGATGACCTGGTCGAACGGCCCATTCGCTATTTCAGCGATTTCAGGTGGCCGCTCGCTAGTTTGCCACCATATGATATAAAAAAGAGTGAAAGAATTTTTCAAATCGGTTCAGTAGTTTCGGAGTCTATTCAATACACACAGACAGTTTTTGTTTATATTAGTATTTATATATTAATTATACTTATTTCGATAAAGCGATTAAAATTGTCGATAATATAAACAAATATGTACTTTTGTATAAAAATAATGCATACAATCTGATAATATTATTATTCAAATTTAAAATGGAGATTAAATTAATTTTCTAAAGTGTAAGAAACATAATTAATCTAGTTATTTTTTTATATATCATAAGGTGGGAAACGAGCGAGCCACCTGAAATCACTGAAATAGCGTAGTGACCGTTGCCCATAGACATACGCAATTGCATATGCCGTGCCTACATTTAATCGACGGAGGAGAGGATGCTCAAAAAGAAAATATCTTCCCTTTCCATGCATCCTGTAATCCGGAAAGTCCACTTCCACTTCCCATCCTTTCCTTATAAAAAAAAGGGTGGGAAGGGAAAGAGGACTAAATTAGGCCTCCGGGACGCACACTCATCAGACGAAACGCGGAATTGCTTCCACTTGACGCCTGTCTTCTGTGTGGTCGTGGTATTTCACCGGGCGAGCCGGGACAATTCGTGCGGAGATGTTAAAGTGGGCTCTACCACTGTTAAAATTATAAAGTAGCTTTATATATTATATTTTATGAGATAACCAAAAATTAAATAGAATCCATTTTTTTTATATGAATGCAGGATCTCCTCGCTAATATTATAAACTAGCTGTCGCCCGCGACTCCGTCCGCGTGGATATGTAAAAAAACTTAATTAGTGAGGCCTATGTGTTCTTTCAGATTATGTTCTATATGTATGCCAAATTTAATCGAGATCCGTTCAGCCGTTCTAGAGATATCAAGAAACACCCATTCATCCACATCACATCCATCTAAACATTCGCATGTATAATATTAGTAAGTTAAATAAAAAGCAGCTCATCAAGGCATAAATTCGAATAAAATAAAAAAGAATAAATAGTATCGTATATCCGTCTCCTGGGTCTAAGCTACCTCCTCACCAATTTTCAGGCATATCGGTAAAGCCGTTCTTGAGTTATAAATAGTGTAACTAACACCACTTTCTTTTATATATATAACATGCGAATGTTTAGATGGATGTATGTTTGAAGGTATCTCCGGAATGTTACAACAGATTTTGTTGAAATTTAGCACACATGCAAACATAGTGTGGAAGAACACGTAGGCTTATTAAGTTTTTTTTTGTAACTCCGCGCGGACGACGTCGCGGGCGTAAGCTAGCTACTATATACGTATTTGTTTGTAAGTTACTTTGACCGTCTTTAGCCTTACCGTTATCATTCGATTCGTAATTCCATTTAAAAATAACGAATTGTTTCTTAAATTACTATGAAAACTCACTCGAAGCGTTCTTTTAAGATTTAATGTTCTCGTCAAACATGACTTGCAATTTAGTTTAAAATTTGTCGCGAAACCACATTACTCCGAATCACTCTTAACTCACGACGTCTCACGCGTCTTATATGCATATTAAAAATTAAACATAAATAAAATGTCATGCTGATATATAATATGCTTATGATATAAATTCGTTGGGAATGATTTTGTGATCACTTTCAAACAGTTGCCAAGCCATCATCATGTTCTCTTATATTATATCAGGTGTTTTAATACTTGTGATAAGTTTATATTATTACGTAACTAGAACATTCAACTATTGGACATCTCGGAATGTCGCCGGACCAAAACCTTTACCTCTGTTTGGTAACATCATGGAATCTGCGTTAAGGAAGAAAAATATCGCCCTTGTAATGCACAAAATATATCTAGACTATCCTAAAGAGAAACTCGTCGGTGTGTACAGGATGACAACGCCTTGTGTGTTAGTAAGAGATTTGGAAGTTATCAAACATGTTATGATAAAAGATTTTGATATGTTTGAAGATCGAGGAATCGAGTTTAGTAAAGAAGGATATGGTGCTAACTTATTCCATTCAGATGGAGAGACATGGAGGGCATTAAGAAATAGATTTACCCCGATATTTACGTCAAGGAAATTGAAAAATATGCTTTACTTGATGACAGACCGTGGAGACAAATTTGTACAAGGCGTTGAAAAAATAGTCAAAGAACAACCAGAACAAGCTGTATTGAAACATATTCAACTTTATACAATTGCTACAATATCAGCTTGCGCCTTTGGTATTGATATCGATAAGTTGGGTAAAACTTTAGATTCCTTGTACAAATTGGATGAAATGGCATTAAATACTAATTTTTTCTCTGAATTAGACATGATGTTTCCTGGAATATTGAAGCATATGACGTATACAATTTATCCAGCTTTAGCTAGAGAAATTTTCGATGGTCTTATAAAAAATGTGATCACAGAACGAAACGGTAAACCGAGTAATAGAAATGATTTCATCGATTTGATATTAGCATTGAAAGAGAAAGGTGAAATCGAAGCTTCCAAAATTAATACAGACGATAAAATAAAGCCATTAGAATTGACCGAAAGTGTTATGGCGGCACAAGCGTTTATATTCTTTTTGGGAGGTTATGAAACTAGTTCGACAACAATGACATATATGATGTACCAATTGGCTTTGAATCCTGACATCCAAAACAAAATGATCGAAGAAATAGACGAAGTACTCGAGAGGTGTAACGGAGATGTAACGTATGAAACTTTAAACGAATTGACTTACATGGAGAAAGTTTTTGATGAGACTTTACGTATGTATCCGATTGTTGATCCGTTACAAAGGAATGCAAAGAACGATTATAAAGTGCCTGGAACTGATGTTGTGATAAAGAAAGGTCAGACAGTGTTGGTGTCACCTCGTTCTTTACATTACGATGAACAATATTATCCGGAGCCGCATAAGTTTGATCCGGAGAGATTCTCCCCGGAGGCAGTTGGGGAAAGACATTCGTGTGCTTATATTCCATTCGGTGTCGGACCGAGGAATTGTATTGGTGAGTTTTATTTAAGTACTAAGCATATTAAGTAATATCTCCAATTAAATTATTCAAACTTTCGTGAGAGATTATACTAAACTGACATATAAACACGGCTAAACACTCACGTATATACGTCCGGTGGCGGCACCGACTGAGTGAGCGACGGGCCGCGTCCGCGAAATAATACCAGTACCACTCATCCTGATGAAGGGCCCCCGATGGGCTCGAAACTAGTCGGTGCCGCCACCGGACGTATATACGTGAGTGTTTAGCCATGTTTATATATCAGTTTAATATCTCCAATTATTTTATTAAAATCAAAGACAAACGAGTTAACTAAGAGTAGCTGCATAGATCGTAAATGTCTTCTATGATGCAATTGAGAAAAAAAGAACATACAGACGAATTGATAACCTCCTTTTTGAAGTCGGCTAAAAAAAGTAAAACTTGAACTCAAATTCACATACTTTAGATGTTTGTTTATATTGTATCCTCGTGTTGAAACATGGCGAGATAATAATTACTTCTTTTTAATAAACATTTGTTTTTATTACGAAGGCAGCGAAAATAAAAATAAAATAAAATCGTCGCACAAAATTTGACACTAATTAATACAGTTGTTTTAAAAAAAAGTTTTGTGTGTTTTTTTAGTCGACTACAAAAAGGTTATGAATTCGAAGGTATTTTATTTTTGTTTGTTTTTAAACGAGTTTCAGTGACGGAATTTTCGTAATTTTTTTAAACGATAAAATCATCTTTTATTTCCAGGTATGAGATTTGCCAAAGTTCAATCCAGAGTTTGTCTACTGAAGTTCTTCTCGAAGTTCAGAGTTGAAGCGACTAAGCAAACTCCCAAAGTTATTGAATACGATCCTAGAAGGACGACAGTATCACCTGTGGGGGGAATACCCTTAAACATTATACGCAGAAAGTAAAATTATAAAAAAATGTTGTTTTTTTACATATTATATTTTTTAATGGGATTATTTGGGTGATTTTATAAAAGTTGATCTTTTTAAACGAACTCGGCACGGATTTATGGATTTTTTTTTATATTTTGAGGGGTTTTAATAAAAGCATTGAGAAAAATTTATTTATATTTTATTTAATCCTATGTATAGTAAAGGTATGGAAAAATAAAAAATAAAGTTGAACAATTTTTTTTCACTAAACAGAATTTTTATGATATATTTTTTAATCTTAATAAAAACTATATTAATGTGTGCTTAAAGTTGACTTGTGCCTTGGATGACAGTCTTCAAACCTGTCGGCTTCTGTTTCGGTAATCTGTGGACAATATTCATCATCATCAGCTCACTATACGTTCACACCGAGGGGCTCGGTGGCTACCCTAAGTTGAGGGTGATTAGGTCATAATCAACCACGCTGGCCAAGTGCGTGACTACACACATATCTTTATATTTCTTCTCAGATATGTGCAGGTTGCATCACGATGTTTTCCTTCACCGTAACAACGTCGGATAAATGTACATATGTAAATCGAAACGAAGAACACATTAGTAAATGGCGGAATTCAAACCCAGGACCAGCAGATTGCAAGTCAAGTGCTTGACCACTGAGCCACCGACACTCCGGACAAAATTATAAAATAAAACAATATACTCTTATTCTTGACAGCGTATGAGAAAGTGCGTCAATTTAATGTGAGGAGGATAATAGAATTTTAAGTACGCTGTATAATACGATTCAAACTTAATGCCGGCTCACAGCTGCGAGAGCATCAAATATCAAAATGAAGAGAATATTTATATACAAACTATAAAATAATCTGTGGAGTCATAGCAATGACATCCGTCAAATTTTACTCAAAAAATTAAAAAAAAAATTTTTTTTTGATTAATCCGTTAAACATACAAAAATTTCATCATTTTTTTTTACAAAAAAAAAATGTATGTTATATTTTATTTATCCAGCTGTGGATGTCTTTAAATATAATCCGGCTTATTTAACAAGAAAAAAATTTCTAATTAAAAAAAACACACTAGATTGACGTATAAAAATTCTGACAGATGACACTTGGCAGTGGCGCCTACTAAGAGCCGTCATTTCACAATTGTATGTTTATATTCAAAATATAAAAGACAAGGCTGTATGGCTTAGTTCCTTTGCCTGTTTTTTCAAGCGAATGCGATGTGAGTTATCATACAGTTTGTATGAGTTACCTGACATGTATGACCTTGCGGGGCGAGGCGGGATGCAGCAGGTCGCGTCGTCGCTCCCACTCCGCGTACTTCTGATACTGACGTTGCCGGCGACGGTCCACGTAACTTATCTGGAAAAAAAACATAACTTCTCTATTGTTATTTTTTTAAGTTGATAAATGTTTGATAAGATTTTAAGCAATCGTTACTTAAATAAAAAAATTAAAGAAAATTTAGTGTTGCCTTAAAAGGCTCCCATACAGCCTTATTAAGAACCGTCCTATTGTATTATCAAATTTAATCATTGAGTCATTCCATAGACAATTACACTGGCAGTTTTTTTTTATATCATCCTATCATCTCATAGTAACTTCTCACCATACATATAGAGAAAAAGGATTTAATTTAGAAAATTAACGTTTCTAGTAACTCGTTAACAAAAAAATATTAGACTTTATTAAATTTAATTATTTAAAATATTAATCAAGGCTACAAGGGTAGAGGAAGACCAAAAAAAGTATGGAATGACTGTGTGAAAGAGGATATGCGTAAGAAGAGGGTAGACTCGGATATGACGGCTGATAGAGATGTATGCAGGAGTAGTACATGCTGTGCCGACCCTCGATAGGGATAAGGGCAGGTTGATGATGATGAATCAAACATTTCAAATATAGACAAAAATGTCGAATACTACAAAATAACAGTTTAACAATAGTAGAGCCCGCTTTAACATCTTCGCACGTATTGTCCCGGCTCGCCCGGTGATTTACCACGACCACACAGAAGACAGGCGTACAGTCTGATGAGTGTGCGTCCCGGAGGCCTAATTAAGTCCTCTTTCCCTTCCCATCCTTTTTCTTATAAAGAAAGGATGGGAAGTGGAAGTGGACTTTCCGGATGAGAGGATGCATGGAAAGGGAAAATATTTTCTTTCTGTACATCCCCTTTTCCGGCGATTAAAGGTAGGCAACGCATATGCAATTGCGTATGTCTATGGGCAATCACTTCGCTATTTCAGCGATTTCAAGTTGCCGCTCGCTCGTTTTCCAACTTATGATATTAAAAAAATATATAGATAAATACAGACCAAACAGCTGGCAGGTATCCAGAGCAGGGCGGTGGCGAGCGCGGCAACACCCACTATGTTATCTCGCAAGAAACCCAGCACATTGTTTATATTTATGTCTTCTATTATATTCCAGATGCGCTCCACCACGTCCTGGATAGTCTTCTCGCAGACACCCTGATATTACATTAAACCCTTATTCCACTAAACCATATGTTACATCTCGTGGTACAAAATGACACTTGACTAGTCGATTAGTGGAAAAAGTGTTTATTACATAGAAGAAAAAAAATAAGTTAAAAGTGATATTTTTTAATGAACATAAGTAAAAAAAAAATAGTACTTCACAAGTTTTAACCGCGACTTGTGTTCTTCCAGACTGTTTTCTAGATTAATAAAAAAAATATCTGAAATTCGTTGAGCTGTAATAGAAGTACCTTTTAATAAACATGAATGCATATATTCGCATTTATAATATTAGTAAGAAGTAAGATTACGCGGCTGTGAGTCGGGCAGAACGTACCTTATTACAAAATCCCTGTATGCAAGGCGTGCCGTCGGGCAATATGTCGTTGTGTGCCACTGGGAAGCAAGTTTTGTTCAAACTCTTGCGGCAACAACGTTTGCACGCGTCCGCAACTAAAGAGGAAAAATATATACATATATTCTAAAACTATGTAAGGAGTCGCACGTGAATCCATTCGCAGGGAATTAAAAAAAAACTTAATAAGTAGCCTATGTGTTCTTCCAGACTAGATTCTATATGTATGACAAATTTCATCGAGATCCATACAGCCGTTCTGATGATATCTTCAAACAAACATCCATCCAAACATTCGCATTTATAATATTAGTAAGAGTAAGATTGAATGGGTGTTAAAATGTAAGAAATCGTCAATTCAATTCTTTTAACTACCACGTTTTTAGGTTAAATTTTTGTTTTATTGTGTGTATGTATGTATTTTTAGGCATTATTAACTAAAATCCTTTAGCGCGAATGACGTGCTTTCGTTACAAAGTCAAGTGTCAGAATGATTAGTGAGGGGACATAAACGTCGACATTTTAGTAAGGCTAGTGTTGCGCCAGTACACCGGCAGTGTCGTATTTTCTTCCTAGTATTTACCTATGTCACACATGCAGCTATGCATGCCTTGTGTCTCGCAGTACGGCACACACGACCCGTTGCGACACCGGCCTCGCTCCGCGCACTCGTGCTCGTCAGCTATAGCCGGCGCCTGCGCACGTATCATCATCAGCTCACTACCCCACTGAGGGACTCAGAGCCTACCCTAAGTTAGGGGTGACTAGGCCATAGTCAACCACGCTGGCCAAACTTTCAGATGTTTCTGATCTCTCTGTATAACACACTGATTACTTGGAAATTACAGCTTTGGTTTCGTTCAGATTTAAACATGGGGAGTTCGACAAAATGCTCTTCGAAGCGATTTCATAGCGAACATCAAAAATGTATGGAAGTGAGGCGCGAAAATCACGTGACTTATATATAGTTATTGTCAGTTCTATACATTTTTGCAGTTCGTTATGAAATCGCTTCAGAGCGAATACACTTTGTCTAACCCCACTGATGTTACGTGACATTTAATTCTATATATATATATATTATAGTTCAAATCCATACAATGCATTAGCTCCAAAATGGCGAAAATCAAATAGGCACAAAATTCTATGTCTTATAACCTGTCTATATAAAGAGGTCAGTGATAAGACCAGAGCTGGTTTAACCATGGAGTTCAAGGGGTGAGTGTCAGGAATTTTAGATTTGTTGAAGACTGCCACATATAGGATGATTCTTGATTCTAAAGCAAAGTAAACAGTTATATCTCAGACTTGTAACTCTTTTATATCAGTTGTGTGTGTTGTGTTACCTTGGGGCAGTCGGCGGAGGCGCCGGTGCAGGTGGCTTCGCCCTCGCAAGCTGCGTGTGCGGGCTCGCGACACACCGCGCCCGCCGCCGCGAACACGCAGCCCGCGCAACATGGCGAGTTCTTATCACTAACACAACACAATCTTATACATAACATTCTCGTATCACAATATTACTAAACTCCGAAACGAATTTATAATATTTTTATGCATACTAGCTGTCGCTAGCGATTCCGTCTGCAAGGAATTAAAGAAAAATAAGTAACCTATGTGTTCTTCCATGTTCTATTTGTATGCCAAATTTCATCGAGATCTTTTCAACCGTTCTGAAGATACCTTCTAACATCCATCCATCCAAACATTCGCATTTATAATATTAGTAAGAGAATTACCTGCAAACAGCTCCTTGATTTTTGCGTAGTTTACAATTCTTATCGCAACACATGTCATTGTCCTCTGTACCTGTACACAACAAAACAAAATACATGACAAACTGAAAGAGACAGACATAGTGTGAGACATCGAGAGGAACAGAGACAGACATAGTGTAAGAATGTGAGAGCAAAAGAGACAGACATAGTGTGCGAATGTGAGAGCAAAAGAGACAGACATAGTGTGCGAATGTGAGAGCAAAAGAGACAGACATAGTGTGAGACAGTGAGAGGAACAGAGACAGACATAGTGTGAGAATGTGAGAGCAAAAGAGACAGACATAATGTGAGACAGTGAGAGGAACAGAGACAGACATGGTGTGAGAATGTGAGAGGAAAAGAGACAGACATAGTGTGAGAATGTGAGAGCAAAAGAGACAGACATAGTGTGAGTCAATGAGAACTATAGACAGTTATATTACCAAGTAATCCTGCATCACATTCCTCGCCGCCCTCAACACGCAGGTTACCGCAGAAGCTCTCCTCAGGCTCGGAGAAGCAGCGCCCAGACTTGGCTTGCAGCACCTTCCTGATAGACCGCAGGCTGCACGGCGAGAACCTCTACACATGGAAAACTAACATTTAGAACTGTATATTCCATTTAATTTAAAGATGTAACTCTTTTCGTGCGTCATATAACAGATGTAACCTTTTTCGCATATAAAATGTCGTATCTATTACCTTATTATTAACATCATATCCGCTGACACTGTAGGTATACATGAGGTATGAGCCGCCCTGGCTGGCTGTGGGCGAGCACTCCACAACATCAGGGTCGTGTTCCGAGCCCCAGTTGTGACCGAACTCGTGCGCAGTCACAAGATCCGCCTCGCGAGTTATCACACGCTGACCGTAGTGATTCCGAGACGAACTCAAACCAGAGTTCAAGTACAATGTGTATCCATTCTTGAAGTATTCTGTTAATTTATAATTCTATTTACCTATCGCCCGCGCAGTCTGCACGGTATTAAAACAAAATAGTAACCTATGTGTTCTTCCACGCTATGTTCTACATCTATGACAAATTTTAGTGAGATCCATGCAACCGTTCTGCAGATACATTCTAACAAACATCCATCCATCCATATGTTAGCATTTATAATATTAGTAAGAAGTAAGATTGTATTGATATCCAATTAAAATAGGTGTAAAGAACCGTGTGAAATAAAATTGTGTAGATAAATACCAAGATTCCTTTTTAATGTTTGATTACCAGTTAAAATGAACTTTAAAATCTTACTATTTTACTAATATTATAAATGCCAAAGTAAAATGGATGGATGTTTGATAGAAATTATCTCAACAACGGCTGCATGGATTTCGTTGAGATTTAGCATAGATGCAGAACGTAGTCAAGAAAACGATATACATAGGCTACTTATTATTTTTTTTGTTTAATTTCGCGCAGGCGAAGTTGCGGGATGCAGCTAGTAATTCAATAAATCACAAAGATAAAATAAATTTTAGGAATATCGATGGATAGATATAATTAAAATAGATAATTCAGTCTTTTATGTTATGTGATTCAAAATTAGAGTTACTCCTTAATTCCAAAAATAAAGCAGATTTTACATGTGTAGAATAAATAAATATATTGAAACAAATATATAAAGCAAACAAAAACAACATAAAACACTCACATTTCGCAGCGAAATGGCTGAAAACAAAAAATAAAAACAAAATGTAAATACCAACATAAAAATATCGCACGTGAAAAATGTAAAGCATTTATGCAAAATATAACCTCAACAACATAACTATAACATAAAAATTGTGAAAACATTTAAAAAAAAAAACTATAAAACCGAAAAAATCACACAAATGAAAACAAAGCTTATTTTTTATATCACACAAACAAATATCAAAATGAAAATATGCTCATAAATTCCAATATCCCATGATATCATCGCAAATAAGTTTTAAATTATGAATGTAAAAAAAAAATTCAGATTGAAACTAACGACTGAATCAATGTAAAAAGTCATATCTGGAGATATAACTGTTTACACTGATTTCTAAGAATGGATAGGCGATTGCTTGGAAATTACAGTATTTACCACGTTCCCATTTAAACGCGCTTGTTGATGTTACGTAACATTTTATTCTATTTATATTATTATAATAGTTCGAATGCACACCACCGCCAAAATGGCGAAAATCAAATACGAAATAATACAGAAAATACTATGTCTTACATAAGACAGAATTATATCATCCAGATTGATGATATAAAGTACCCAAAACTAAGGCATGGATGTGGATGCATGTAGATGTATGAATGTAGAAGAAGCTCGAAAGGTGTGTCGAAACCACACCAAATAGCATGGACTCTGCCAACCCCCTCTATGTATAGATGCAGTATATACCTGGAGTACATATTCCGCCGACGGAGTTCCTGCGAGGAGAGCCGACGTACGCGAGCCCGAGGATGCCTCCTTCGAACTTCAGGTCTGTGAATAAATGCGCCAGGCAGAAGTCCTTGTGCGAGTACTCGCGGCTGAAAACCTATCAAAAATATGTTCCCAGGTAGAAATACAGCCTGAAATGGTTAAAGCTTTCTAATGCAACAATATGTACAGTATTGTAAGGACTTTATACGTTTCTTAATCGTTTAGAATTATAAAAACTTGTAACCACAAAATCAAGTCAGTTTTAGACAATTAAAAAATAATAAATAATTAAAAATACATAAATATCTGCCTATGTACTACATCTATACTAAATTTCCGTTCTGGAAATACCTTCAATCATCCATCTATTCAAACATTCGCATTTATAACATTAGTAAGATAGACCGCGGGATAATTATAAAATATTTATACTAAAAATTTAGTATAAAATATATACAACTTTATACCTAGAAAAGAGTTATAAAGACAGATAAAGTGAAGTGGGGTTCATACCTCAAGTAAATTCCTGACGTCCCACTTCTCTCGCACCATGTTATAGTGCGCCTCGCCGCCCCGCACGCGCGTCGGCTCGGAGTGCACCAGTATCTTCTTTATCACAAAACCCATGCCTTTAAACCCATCCATATCCTAAAAAAAAAATTAACGCCTACTAAAAAAATATCCCGAAGAAAAAGGTTACATCTCTAGACATATAACCTTTTTCGTAATATATATATATAATTTCAAAATATTTTTTTTAATATATGTACTAACCTGTCGATCTTGCCAGACTGTGTCATTGTATATTTTATGAACACGATCTATTAGACTTATCTGAAAAAAATAATACGAATAATTATTAAAAATATAATTTCTGGTGAAATTAGCTTCTGTACGCGAATATATTTACTAAATAGCCTACAAACAGACAGCACAGTATATCTATACCAAACTTCAATAAAATATATTGAGTCGTTGCAGAGTTATCAAGTAAATATGAAATAAAATCCCGAGGGAACCAAACACATATCTGGAGTCATAGGTAGTCTATGTGTTCTTCCAGACTATGTTTTATATCTATACCAAATTTCATCAAGATCTGTTGTACCGTACTGGAGATACCTTTAACAAAAATCCATTCAGATAATCATCATCATGTCATCATCAACTCACTATATGTCCCCACCGAGGGGCTCGGAGCCTACCCTAAGTTAAGGGTGATTAGGCCATAGTCAACCACGCTAGACAAGTGCGGGTTGACTTTACACATCTTTGAAATTTCTTCTCAGATATGTGCAGCATCACGATGTTTTCCTTCACCGTAAGATCGGATAAATGTACATATGTAAATCGGAAATTGAAAAACACATTGGTACATGGCGGGATTTGAACCCAGGACCTACAGATTACAAGTCAAGTGCTTAACCCCTGAGCCACCGACGCTCTTCATACATACATACATTCAGATAATATTATTATTCAAGAATAAACATACCAAATAACTAATTGTTGTTTTTGTATTACTTGCTCCCATTTCTTGAAAGAATCTGTAATCGGCTACTAATAGTAGAGGGCATCTTGTTTTTGTTGGTGTATATTCATAATCACTTTGTCGTTTCACTCTTTTTTTGTTTCCATCTTTATAAGGTACATTGTTATGGTGGTCGCTTTGTTGTGATTTCTTTAAATATTTATTCTTTTCCATTTGTTCCTGTTTACTTTCAACATTATAATTATAATCTTCATCATCGTCTTCAAGTTCTAGAAATTTTTATAAAATTTATTAGATTATTAACCTTATGAGATTATTATCTTGTTAGTAATTATTTTTTTTATATCATAAGGTGGTAAAAGAGCGAGCGGCCACCTGAAATCGCTGATACAGCGAAGTGACCGTTGCCCATAGACATACGCAATTGCATATGCGTTGCCTACCTTTACTCGATGAAGGAGAGGATGCACAGAAAGAAAATATCTTCCCTTTCCATGCATCCTCTTATCCGGAAAGTCCACTTCCACTTCCCATCCTTTCCTTATAAAGAAAAGGATGGGAAGGGAAAGAGAACTAAATTAGGCCTCCGGGACGCACACTCATCAGACGAAACGCGGAATTGCTTCCACTTGACGCCTGTCTTCTGTGTGGTCGTGGTATTTCACCGGGCGAGCCGGGACAACTCGTTCGGAGATGTTAAAGCTCGCTCTACCATTGTTAAAATTATTGTAATATTATTTTGTATATTTAAATTGTGTCATAATTAATAATGTCTCCAATTTATTATTACATACCTTGTCCTTCTTTAACATAACCACAAACACGAGGTCTGCTACCATTATTATGTGTCCAACTAAAGTGTATGTCTGATGAACGGTAAGTTATCATAGTCCCATCATCCTGGTCTGGTAAATGTCTCCATGATGGCTAAAAAAAACACTGATTTATAATTTGACAATTTATTAATGTACTTGCGATCACCCATGACTCTGAATGGAATTAATAAAAACTTATTAAGTAGTCTATGTGCTTTTCAGAGTATGTTCTACATCTGTGGCAAATTTAATCAAGATCCATTGAGTTGTATGGGAGATACCTTCTAACAAACATCCATCCATCCATCTAAACATTCAAATATATAATACAAGCTGTCGCCTATGATTCTGTCCATGCGTAAATTCAACAAAAAAACTTAACTAATAGCCTATGTGTTCTTCCAGACTATTTTCTACATCTATGCCAAATTTCATCAAGATCTGTTGATCCATCCATATATATTAGTATGGTGGTTACCTCAATATGATAAGTCTCATCAGGTGTATGTATAATGCCAGTAACAACACCATTATCAATATGTAACTTTACATCTGATAATTTTTCACCAAACACCCTGCCAGTGTAAAAGTTGCCTCGATCTGGAAACATAGGAATGCAAGAGTTCAAGTGACCGCTATGTATCTCTTAATCTTAGAGGTCTCTCTGCTCTAATATTTTTTTTGGGGAAAAACGCGACCAATGGACATCTGCAACACTAGAGGAACTGCAGATGCATTGCCAACCTTTAAGGAAAAATCCGAGGATAGATTTTTCCAATTTCTTGCTTATGGTTATTATCTAGTTGGGTCTGGACAATGATTCAGGCTTTTAGTGGTTTCTTGCTTAGCCAGGTTTGACTATATGTGTATTTGTTAGTTACATAAAAACTAAGATTAAGATACACTTTCATGGCTATCCATGTTATTTAACTTACGTTTATAACCATTTTTTTTAATATGTGTTTATCTTACCAACATGAACAACAGTTTTCTTTCCTTCACCATCAACTGCATAAGCTTTGAAGTTTGAATGTAGCACAGTACTGTGAGGATGTAAAATAAGTCTGAAGTCTTTGCCGAGAGTTTTAAAGTGCAATTCCTTGATTGTATTGAATGGATGGTTTGATTGTTTTGCACCTCTTTTCACTACATGGTGGTTAAAACTTGATGAATGAAGTGTTTCGTAATATTTGAGATTGTTTGACAGCGAGCCTGAAGTTTAAAAAAAAAATTATAAGTTGGAGTAAATATATTATTGTATTTTTGTATCTAAGACCTAAATTAATATTTCTAATACTTTAATATAACATTTATGTATTATTTATAGATTCTTTGATTTATTTGTTAGTGTTATCGAGTAAATTATGGTATATCTAGTTAAAATTACTCAGTAATTTGAAAACCTTATTTATTGAATAAGATTTATAAATGGGAAGTAATAGTAGCACTTACACAACGTAGCACATACGTATTGCATAATTACAATGCAAAATATACCAGAAAAACTTGAATACTTCATTGTTATTGTGCTTAATGGTACTAAAGTAAGTTTAGAAATGTAAATATTCTCTCACAAAATTCTTATTGTTTGTATTTATGACTTAAAGTTCTTTCCTGTTAAAGATATAAAAGAATATCTCTACATTGTTTTCCAATAAATTAACAAGTAACTCTTTTCTTTTGTGATTTACATCATATTTTTCAAAATAATAAGACAAAAACTATAAAATTCTAATATAACGAGAAACTTGGAAAATCTATATTTCCGTGACTGACATTGACATTTCGTTGGCAGTTGCCATTATTTACAAAACGAAAGCTACTGAATTATTGTTAATTTTTTTATTTAAAGGTAGAGATTAGAAAGCACCACCCCCAGAAAAATAGAAATCCTCGACATTTGCAGAAAATCTAGAACTAATTTCTCGTAATTTTGCTACTGTACAATCACGCCGACAACGATAATTATTAAGAAGATTAACTTCATATGCAAACAGAGACGTGGGTTATCGTACTAAAATAATTTTAAAGAAATACTTTTCATAATATTGTTTTTTTTTAAGAGCAAGGGGCAAACGAGTGGCGGAAACACCGAGGTGATCAATGACATCCACGGACATCTTGTTTAAATGTTTTAAAGATTTTCTGTTTAAAAATTTGGAAAAAATAACAACACTTTTATTTCTGACAGTACCGATGACAATATACAGAATGTAAATTTTTTCATAGAGGGAATTCTAGGATATCTATTAACCCTACGGTTTATCTTTCAGAGAGAATAGATAGACTAACCCGTCGTGAAATTAAAGTATTTTATTGTAATCACAATGTAATAATTGTGTTCATAATAATTTCATTCATTGATACACTGAAACATATTTATAGCCGCGGAGAAAAAATGTATAAGCAAATAAAATAGGATACGTCTAACATCTAACGTGATAAAAGTATGTTTTATACCACAGTTTCATAAATCTTAGAAATATAAATCAACTTAGTAGAAATATGGATGAGCAAAATCCCTTTGAGTATAAGAAAATAACGAGTATCAGAAAATACTACCTATTCCTTAAAGTGATTGCTTGAAGCAAATGTTATTGCGATATATTACGATAAAAATTACACATAGTTTATAAAAATATACCATTTATTTTCATATATTTACAAATAAAGCTAACATTTACAACCTTTGCTGTTAAAAAGTCGTAGAAAAAATTATATTAGTGTTTATGTTTATTTTAGGAACAGTATTTCCACCGGGATTAGCGCCTTCTTGGTCGTTTTTCTTGAAAATGGAAGTCGTAGTGTGGGATCTAATAAAATAATAAAAAAATAACCATTTCAATTTTAGGATCTAAGTAAATATAAATCCAGTTTAACGTTTTGTACATTTAACGAGGCCATTGATCTTTATAAATGGATACGCGTTTCCTTGAAAGTGAATGCATTTACTACGTTCCGATTTAAACGCGTCTGTTCATGTTAGGTGATAGTTATTTGCTTATATTATTAGTTCACATCTACACCACCACTACAAACCATCTACCATCCGCGCCAAAATGGAGAAAATCAAATACGCATTAATTTTAACAGTGGTAGATCCCGCTTTAACATCTTCGCACGAATTGTCCGGGCTCGCCCGGTGAAATACCACGACCACACAGAAGACAGGCGTGAAGTGGAAACAATTCCGTGTTTCGTCTGATGAGTGTGCGTCCCGGAGGCCTAATTTAGTCCTCTTTCCCTTCCCAACCTTTTTGTCATAAGGGAAGGATGGGAACTGGAAGTGGACTTTCCGGTTCAGAGGATGCATGGGAAGGGAAAACATTTTCTTTCTGTGCATCCTCACCTCTGTCGATTAAAGGTAGGCAACGCATATGTAATTGCGTTTGTCTATGGGCAACGGTTACTTCGCTATTTCAGCGATTTCAGGTGGCCGCTCGCTCGTTTGCCACCTTATGATATAAAAAAAAATAATACGTCAAATAGTCTCGTCTACTCTATAACATTTATAGAGTAGACGAGGATATTTTAAATGTTTCCAATAGAGTCCGGATTTAAAGTAATAAATGTCAATTGGTTTTCGCTTCCATTTTATGATTTCTAATATTTTCGCTTTGACATACTCGAGATATTGTACATATGATTTGGAGTGACTCGGATTTTATTTCATAAATACTGCTGACCGTAATTCAAAAGATAGCCAGTTCAATTTCACATAATGGATTAGACGACAATGTGTCTGTAGTTGTTATTTATATAAGCTTATGTAATAACTAAGAGCGTCGGTGGCTCAGGGGTTTCAACACTTGCCTTGTAATCTGCAAGTCCTGAGTTCGATTCCCGCAATGTACCAATGTGTTTTACGATTTCTGATTTACATATGTACATTTATCCGACGTTCTTACGGTGAGGGAAAACATCGTGATGCAATCTGCAAATATCTGAGAAGAAATTGAAAGATATGTGTAAAGTCAACCCACCCGCATTGGGCCAGCGTGGTTGACTATGGCTTAGTCACCTTTGATTTAGGGTAGGCTCCGAGCCCCTCGGTGGGGACGTATAGTGAGCTGATGATGATGATGATGATGATGATGATGATGTAATAACTAGCTGTCGCCCGCGATGTCCACACGAAATTAAGAAAAGACTATGTATTCTTCCAGGCTACTTTCTATATCTAAGCGAAATTTCGGCGAGATCCATGCAACCATTCTGGAGATAGGTTCTAACAAACATCCATCCATCCAAACATTCGCATTTATAATGTTAATAAGATATAATTAGAACATTATTTAATACCAGATTACTGAACAGATTTGCCCATTTTATGCCTTTCTTTATCTATCTCATAGAAAATGGTGGAAGTAAGAAGAGAAATAAATTCGAGTTACTCCAACTGGAAAGATAGAAGAAATTAAAAAAAAAGATTTGAGTTGTTTATGTCAAATAACTCAAATCAATAGTTTACCGCAGACAAAGTCACTGGCATCAGCTAGTGTAATAATAAATTGTGTAAATAAAGAATCGTCAGGAAAAGATAGCATGGAAAGCGGCGGTTAAGCGCGGCTCATGACGGTACGATATTATTTTTGGGACTCAGTTTTCGTGCGAATAATGTTTCCTTGTATTTCTTTGATATTTTCTTCCCTTTGTTGACTTATTCTACGCCTACAGGGTAATATCCATCCATTTCCTGCCGACTGTGTACTTTGCATTTGAGTTTTTGTTCAGCCAACAAAAGAGGTTTCAATTCGCCGATGTTTGGTTACTTTTCCCGCCTTTTTAAGTTCGGAGATATAATATTAGTTGAAATTATACTCATGGAAAATTGTAGTAATAATACGAAAGTTATTAATAATGAGTATAGTAAAACACATTATTTATATATAAAATAGTTGTCCGCGACTCAGTCCGTGCAGAATTAAAAAAAAAAACTTAATTAGTAGCCTATGTTTTTTTCCAGAGTATGTTCTACATCTTTGTTAAATATTAGCAGACTACGTTCAGTCGTTCTAGAGTTACCTATAAAACAAACATCCATCCATTCATACATTCGCATTTATAATATTAGTAAGAAAAGCAATAACTATGGATACTTTGTATGTATCGATTGTAATTGCCGAAACACTTATAAAAATATATAATAATATTGTCATTTAATCGTTTTATCTTTCAAAAATAAAGACAATAATTTTTTACATGATTTTAGTTAGACGACATTAACTGTGCAATAGCATTTTATAAGATTTGAATTAAGTTATTCAAGTTAATTGTTAAGTATCTAAGCTCTGTATTTATGTCAATTTAAATGTGCTCTTTAAGTGCTTAATAAAGGAAAACCTAAAAGTACTGTACATTAAAGGAGTGTTTAATTAAACATTTTCTTATCCCCGGGAGCCAATTGGAAACCGTAATCAGAGTAGTACGAAGTTTATTGTTCCAAAGTAATAAACAGAGAATTGATTATATGATTAAACGTGGATTTCTGAGACTAAAACGTTCTCTTGAAACATATCGTTATCTCTGTTTTGTCGAAGATTATGACAGGGATAACGATATGTTTATACAGAGATTTTGGTCTAAAAAACACACGATAAGTTTGACATAAAATAAATAATTTTTTAATGATTTCATTGACCAATTTTATTCAACCGTTCTAAATATAATTTCTAACAAACATACATCTATTCCCCCAACCATCCAAACATTCGCATTTATAATATTAGTTACGTTAACAAGGCTAAGTTACTATTTGAAGAATTTCCTATAAAAGGATATTTGACATTACACACAAAGTTTATTGAAATTCCATTGATAAAGGCATGAAAAGGGTGAAATAAGGATAATGTAAAGCATTATAAAGTCGAGGACGTTTATTTCGTATTCATACTTTTAGCAATTTATAGTCGAACATGAATATCTAAGCCGGTGAGAGGCGCTGCTATCGCGGTATGTTCTGTCAGAATACATAAACAACCTACTTATTGTTAGTTTCTGAAACCAATATATCTGTATACAACCATAACAACATGTTTTAAACGGAGATTTTGGTCTCGACACGACACTCGACACGAACCACTGTTAGACATAAAAATAACCTAAGAGCTACAATACAAAGAGGATCTACTGACATTTTTAGGCGTTGAAAGGGGGGCGCTAGCCTTGTCGGACAATACATATGTAACCATGTTAGTCTTACAAATATTATAAATGCAAATATTTAGATGGATGGATGTTTGTTAGGAGGTATCATTTGTACAGTTTAACGGATTTCGATGAATAGACCACAGGTATAATAATGCATAGGTATAGAACATAATCTGGAAGAACACATAGGCTACTAATTAGGTTTTTTTTTTTTAATCCCGCGCGGACAGAGTCGCGGGCAACAGCTTGTATTTTGATAAATCGAATGAATATTACTTATTTATAAAGTTCGATGACAGTTGATACTAACCCTTGTATTTGACATCGTCTGCATTATTTATTTAGCTACGCGCTACGTATGAGCTACGGGCTACGAGCTACGGGGTAGCTAAAGGCTTCCCTCCTGCAGTCTATATAAGCGACAAACTTATCAAATATTAACGTCATTTTCAGGAACAAAGACGTTGTTAAATTGCTTCATAAATGGCTTTTCATTATTAAATTTGAAAAAGATGGCGTAAGTCTGTAGCATGATAACTAGCTGTCAACCGCGACTCCGTCCGCGCGAGATTAGAAAATAGATAGCAGTCGATTCTGACATGACACTTTTAT